GCCCCCGCCGCCGCCCTGCCCTGCAGCTCCTCCCTCATTTCAGGGAAGGGATGAAAATCCCTAGTGGGATGTAACAATGGCCAGTGCGTTCTGAGATATACAGATCTTTGCATCCAAGGGCCGGTTTGTTTTCTATTATGTGCTGTTTTCAGATAGTAGATTCTACTATAAGTATGAACTTTGGTGCCAACTTGGGGTAAGGGCCTTTGCTTTAGGCACAGCATACAGGGCCATACCAGCTTCTGTTTCATTCACCTGGGGCCTAGGGAGAGACAGTGGCCACTCAGAGGCCACACGGCTACTCTCATCTGAACATTTGGTCTGTAGGGGTGCCACTTGGGGGTAAGGGACAGAGGACACTGGGCAAAGAAGGTCTAAGCACTGCATACTAGAGGCCAGCCAGCGCGACCCAGACATCCTCGGAGGGCCCTCCACGGCTATGCGGATGCGGTGACGACACACAGGGGACCGGACGACAGTTAGGGAGTGCTGCACCAGACACAAGACGTTAACCAGCTGAAACCCTGATTCCCAGAGCACACGCTAAATCCTCTGTCTCACTCTGCTGGTTTTCTCCAAAAATAAAGAGCTTCTGAGAACTCAATTTAGAGATTGGTATTCAGATTAATAATTTGCTTGATTTTTCCTCTTTGAAATTCTTGGTCACTCTTATCGTTGGACAACCTAGAATTTACCAGGGAACATACAACATAGTTTAGAAAAAGCAAACGGGGCTTTTAGAAACTCCACCCAAAGAGAAGGTCCTTGGTGCTGGAAAACAGACAGACAAGGTAATGCAATGGTAGGAGCAAAAATAAAGTAATGCAGAGAAGAATGCAAGGCCTGTTTTGTTAGCCAGTGGGCTCAGGGGGCCTATAAACGACGGGGAAAAAGACAGTCTTCTCGCCGCACCCCTACCGCTCCAAAGTCAGTGATGACTTTGCATAATGCCCATGTCAGTAGTACACGTCTAGAAAATTAAGAAGTGCATAAAACAGTTGCTAAAACAAGATCTCTGGGTTAAAAATGGATTTCACTCTTCAATATCATCTTTGTCTCCTGCTGGCACAGAAAATCAAAAGTTAATTGGCTGTAGGGACCAGTTCATGCAAATATCCTACGTTATTGTCATCTGTTTTACAGGTTCACTAGGTGAGAAAAAGCAGGCCAATGGTTATTCATATAAAACAGTCTGGCAAATGTCCTGGTTCACAGTTCAGTGTGATCATATGTGGGATAATACGGGAGCTTCACAGAATCTTTCCTCTCCCTTTCTCTCAAGTGATCCTTCCTTCTCAGCCTCCCTCTTTCTGCCTTTTCCTAGTCTTTCTTCCTGTTCTTTCTCCTTGGATTTTCCTTTAAAATTCATTCATTCATTTATATCATGCTTACTAACAGAGCAGTAGGTAGGTGGGCTCTTCATCCATCATAAATATCTTGCAGTTCCCCAATCCCCAGCCAACAGACAGGTGGTTAACCTTCTACTTTATTTTGAATATTACATGTTTTTTTTTTTTTTATAAGTAAGAACTATATCTATACTTTCCAGTGACAGAAGTCAGTCAGCTTGGTGAAGTTACACTGGTAGGCATTAGGTGACTGGGCTCTGGAAAGTCAGTTAATGAGCTATTTTAAATCTTGATTGAAGACTTGCTCTTGATATTAGAAAGCCCAAGATTTCTAAGGAAGTTTTCTTGGATGGCTTAATATCTAAGTTTTAGTTATAAATAAAACACAAAACCAAAATCTTTTGAATTAATGGAGTTATTATAAATTAAATGACTGAATTTGGCATCTTTTTCTTTTCATCAGCAGCATTATTTTTCTCAACAAAATGTCAACATTTGGGGTTAAATGGATTGCCAGACACAGTTTCACATCCCATATTCTGGGATTGTTTTTCCAATCAGTTATATTGAAAGAAATTAAGAATTTTCTCCAGAATGGTGCTTCTTCCTCCCTAGGAAGGAGGCCGGTGGGGTCTGCCCTTCTGGAGAAGGGGCATCTGACCTTGCAGTGCCTGCGTCCTGGGACCTGGAAGCAAACAGTTTGGTATGCTGCAAGGGAAGACCAGGTTTGCTTTTCCACATGCAGAAGTAAGAACAACCCATCAACCGGGAGAAAAAGTAATCCATTAACCTCTGAGCAAACTGGTCTGGACAGGAAAGAAAAGGCAGGACTGTTAAGCAAGTCAGAGAGCAGAACACAAAAGTCGAGGGGTTGTGGGGACCGGAAGGGAGGAGGAAGCTGACGGGAAATGCGTTTGTCACCTACCCAGCTGAATCTGCTGAGGGACAATCCTCTTCCCTGTGTGAGGAAGAGAAAGAAACAGTGACATCTTGATCAGTTAGGAGAAAAGTCTCTCTAAACTAGAAACAATCAAACAGCATAGCGCAGCAATGAGGAACAGGTTCTTGGTGCAGCCCAGACTTGTGGTCGGGAGGATCCACAGCACCTGCCAGCCCCAATTCACTGGGAGTCACATGGCAAAAAGGTTTTGGAAAGGATTCAGGTAGCCCTGCGGCCATTCTTTTATGGTACATTTTGGGATTTTCAGGGAATGCCTATGAATAAAATGATGATGAATCAGAACATTCCATGGTCTTACCTTTCCTTGAGATGGAGGAGGTGTGCGAGGCGTCACCTGGAAAACACAAAAGGAGGGTGGGCTTGGGAGTTGCCCTCCCTCTGAGCAGCCCCAGTCTTTCAGGAGCCCTGACTAGCTTGGGCTTATGGAGAATGCCTCATATCCATTAGTGTCAGAAAGCACCTGCTCTCTACCAGCTTCCCCACTTCTGGCCTAGATGAGAGAAATACGGAAGCAGAGAATCTGCAGCTGCTGGAGCCTGTGCAGATCTCTGAGATCATGCAGAAGGCACCCCAAGGTTTCTCAGCTGGGGGCTGGCATGTGACCCTGTGACACGAAACTGGAGCTCTATTCCCCATCTGCCCTTTGACATTTAGAACTTTAAAGAGTGCTGACAGGTCTGTGGACCCTGAACTCACCTATCAGAATCTACCTTAAATGTCTGCTGCACTGGGATTTTTAGCATTGTGTTCTTATTTTTAACAAACTTTATTTTGCAGAGCAGTTTTAGATTTATAGAAAAATCATACAGAAATTATAATTCCCATGTACCACATAGAGTCCCTTATTGTTACCACCTGTGCACTAGTGTGGTTCATAACTGATGCGCAAATATTGATACATTGGTATCGGTAGTAACTGACTGGTTTCCGCTAGGGTTCACTTTATGTTGTACATGCTCTGGGGTTGCACAAATGTATGGCCATATCCACTATCACAGGGTCCCGCAGCGAAGTTTTGCTGCCTTAAAAGTATCCTGTGCTGCCTGTTCATCCCTCCCTTTCCCTGGCTTGGGTAACCGCTAATCTTTTCGCTGTTGCCATGGTTCTGCAAAGCCGTGTTCCGAATTACACATCACCTAGTAGCATCAAGACAAGTGAGTTCTTGCTAGCACCCACAGTCCCTTAAGTGGCCAGCGCAGTTTAGAAGTGCTGGTTTGGAACGTGGGATTCTGTGGCAGTTCCCACTGAGGTTGCCTCTGAAAAGCCAGCCCCACCATGAGGAGGACCCTGTGCCTGCTGTGGGTGTACTCGTGAGCCTTGTGGATCACAGCAGCTGCCAGCAGACCCTCGCTTTGCAATTTCGGTGTTCCCCTGTGACCAGCACTCACAATGTTCTTGAAGAAGTGGACTACAGGGTTTTCGTCTTGGGACCGGCCATGCTGTGACTTCTGGGGCAGGGAGCCGTAGTGGGTTGTTCTTGCTGCATGGTGTGAGTCCTGAAAGAGAGAGGCACACGTGCTCAGGGCGATCTGAGGCCAGGTCTGGTCCTCCCCAGGGAAGGCGGACCTCATTCCGTGGGTCCTGGAATAGTTTTTTTCTTTCTAAGGACCTTATACTAGGAAGGTGCTAATGATTCACTAGATACACAGAGGCAGGCGTGGAACTTGGGTGGATATTAGTCTCGAAACTGCACCTTGTTCGGTAGATATTTCTATCGATCATGCAGCAGAGCAGTCCAAGGGTGAGTCCAGCTAAAGTAGGGGCAGGGTAGGCAAAGCACTGAGAGGAAACTGCTAGTTATCCCAGGCATCTAACTGGGTGAAAGACATTATACACACAACAACCTGTAACAGCAAAAGACGAATCTACTCAGAAGCTTTAAGTGTCTGTGACATGAGCTCACCACTGCTTCTCAGAAATCTTCACTTTGGCTACCATGGCACATGGTATTTGGTCAGCTAGGTTTGGGGAAGTCACTTCTGTGTCAGAGTAAGAAGGAAGGGAAGAGGTGTGAGTGCCGGGGCTGCTTCATCATCCAAAAACCCAGACGTTTCCAGGAGAGCTAATACTGCACAGAAGACACCCAATGCAAGCACGGGGACAGAGCCATTCGATCGCAGGGACAGAACACCTCTGGGTGCAAGTGTGGGCTTCTGCTGCCTTCATCGGTTTCACGACTCCCCTCCGTGGCTCTTCCCTCAGCTGCACTCGCCCACCACAGTCAACAGGATGCAGTGAGGGCGAGCTCAGGACAGTGATCATGTCCAGCCCAGGGTACATGGAGAAGAAGCCCACTGCAGGGGACTTCAAAACACGACAGTTCTCAGGAAGGCAAAGGAAAGGGACCTCAGGGAGAGAGGGTGGAACTGATGCTGCTGATTTCCCTTTGTCGTCTCTCCATTGTTCCCGCTCAGGCATAAGCGTGGAGCAGGAGGAGCTTCAGCCAAGCAGTCCAGCATTGCCCAACTGCAGCTTGTGCCGCAGCCCATCCTAGGCAGGAAGCCCTTGATCACTCCTCCTGCCTTCCCTGTGTGCAGGTTTGGGAGCACCTCTCCCCCTCAGGAACAGTTTTGCCGTCACAACGTCTAAAGGCGCTTTTGTGGAGTTTACGACATTGCATTTAGTGGGTATAATTCACAAGTACCTGAATGTCAAAGACGAGGGGCGCTATTTGGTGAGTGCTCAGCATTCCCTGGCCCTTGTTTCACACATGTCCCTGATATCAGGCTTGATTCCTCACAGTCTCCTTGACCCTTTCCTCAGCGGACTTCTGTTCACTCTGATAACAACCCTTCAGAACGCTTCTTGCATTCGCCCTGCTCCCCCTCACTGAGGTCCCTTGTCTGCTCACCCTTCGAGGGGAAGCCCAGAGTCCTCCATTCCCGCCCGTCTCCCTCTGGCCATGGCCTCTTAGCTCTCGCCCCTCCTGGCCATCTCACACTACATACAGAGTCAGCTTTCTGAAACACATGTGAAAGCACCTGGCCTCCCCTTCACATACATCCAGTGTCCACAGAAGGAGATCCACGCTCAAGAATTTCCAAAAGGCTCGTAGTTGTAAGGGGCCTGACCTCCTAGTCCCCCACCTGGCCCATCCCTGACCCTTTTGCAGAGCAGCTGCTCTCCTCCGGGGACCATTCCCAGCACCCACCCCATGCTGCGGTCATGCCGTCTTCTGTGTAATGTCACATATGCTCTTACCAGAGGGAACCTCCATCTCCGTCCTCCTCAAGCCCCAAGCCCACGTGCCCTGTGCAGGCCTGCTCCAGTGCCTATGCAGACTCAGCCTAGAGCCCATTTATTCCCGTTCCAGCTGGTTGTGAGGCATCGCCATGAGCCTTTGTGACATTTGTCCCTCCTCACTGAGCTGTGAATGCCAAGGAACAGAGGCCACTGCTTGTCATCTGCGATGCCTCAAAATGGCCTTGGCCACGGCCAGGCGTGGTCTACCCGCTACAATGTGGCCGGTGCAAAACAGTCAAAATTCTAACCAGAGTTCTGGAATAAGCTAGCTGATGGAAACATATTCCAGTTTTACTTCTGGATCTCTTAATAATGTACCCTCATATTTCTCTGCTCAGTTGTGTTTTCCCTCTTTTGTGCATCTTGTTTGTTAACATCTGTGCACTGCTTAGACTGTAAGGCTTTCTGGGCAGCGAGGATGGTGTGCACCGATGTATGATGTGTAAGACGCAGCTTGCTCTCCTCCTGGGCCGGGTTCTCTGTGAGCCTGTCCTTATTTCCTTACCGTGACATTAAGTCCCTCTTACAGGGCAGTCAGGGAATTGCAAAGGTTTGCTTGCTTTCCTCACTGGCAGACACCATGGGTGCTGGAACTCGAGGGGTCACAGCAGCGGGGAAGATGGTGCCACACTGGTTCTTCCTATTCCAACTTACTCTACCCGGTTGCTGTGAGCACCTGGATCACTGCGGTCCCCTCCTGTTACCTGGCCTCCCCCGGGCCTGGCTGAGAGTATCAGCCAGCTGTGTTCACGCTCCCCAAGCAGCCGCGCACGGCCTTCTCCAGGAAGGAAGGTGTAAAGTGCAGAGTGAGAAACCAAAGCATCTGAGCCTGGATACTGTTTCAGTTACTTTTGGACAAATAACTTTAAGTGTCTATTGTGTCTACAGACTAGTCCGAATGGCCTGAAATAACTAAAGCAGCCTAAACTTCAGTGCAGTCTGTTCCTCTCCTGGTGTTCATGTACCATTTTCTACCTGTGGATTCTGGATTTTGCTGTGTGCTGGATTTTGAATCACAGAAACCTTGTCTGCGTACAAATCCTTCATCTGCCATCCGCACACCAGTACAGCATTTGTGGTACTGGAAAAAAACCCTGAGGTCTACACAGAAGATTCTAGGGCTTACATGCTCCGTAGCTCGCACACTGTTAATATTGTGTGTGTTGTAAGAAATTAAAAAGTATCACACAGACAATGTTTCACATGTGCATCCTTGTTCTGAGTGGCAAAAGAAGAGTTACATTTTTGGGTATGTGTGTGTGAATTATTTTGTGGTAGTAGGGATCAAACCCAAGGTATTCTATAAATAAACCACATTTTAGCCCTTTTAAAAATTTTAAATTTTGAGACAGGGTCTTACTGAATGACCCAGGCTGACCTTGAACTAGTGATCCTCTTTGCCTCAGCCTCCCTAGTAGCTGGGACAATAGGGATACAATTTTTTTTTTCAATAATGAATATATTGATTACCAAACTTTTGAGGGGAGAATAATTGAAATCTCTTAAGCAGTTTATGAGGTTGGTAGGTTGCATCTTAGCTCTCAGAACTACACACAATCTCAATTCAGTACTGCTCACAAAAAAGGGAAAGTGGTGCATCTATAGACCTCAGCACAGAGCTAAGCATGCAGTAGGCACCACTGTTTGCTAAACTACACTTAGATCTCTTTAGCACAGAGCCCAACACATGGGGTAAGTCTGTGTGGTTAAAATCATACAAATTTGGCTGTATATACATTCAAGAGAGACTGCATTTGATTTGGGCTTTTTTCCTATAAATTGTCAGTTACACAGATCAGTTGAGATAGTTATGAAGTTGTAACTTTTTGTTATAGTTATAGTTGCCTATTACTAAAACAGCATTTAGTCAACCATATATCCATATACTAATAATGAGCAGTTAAACACAACACAAAAGTGTAAAAATATTGTCATGCACAATAGCACAAAAGAAACAAGCTAGATGTGACTGAAACAAAGTACGTATAGATCTTTATAAGGAAATCAAAGAAGACAATTGGAGTGATAGACTATGTTTATGGATTAGGAAACTCAACAGACTGAAAATGTTAATTTTCTCCAAACTGACCAACAGCTTTAGTGCAATCACAGGAGTATTTGGATTAGTGATAGACAAGCTGATTCTAAAACTATATGAAAACACAAAGGAACCAAAAGAGCGAAGCACGTGTAAAACAGAAGAAGAAAAAGAGGGATCATACTACTTCATTTTCAGAGTTATTAGACAGCTCTAGTCTTCGAGGCATGGTGGCACTGGAGAGGGATAAACACACAAATCAGTGGACCAGAATGGATCTAGATTTCGATATCCTTACAGATACCATCAGTTGATTTTGACAAAGGTACAAAGACAACCAGTGAAGAAAGGATGATCCTTTCAACAAATGATATGGGGACTCCTGGACAGCCAGTGCCCAAAAAGAGAAAAGAAAAAAGAAAAGAAAAAGAGCCTTGACCCAAAATGACATGTTATATAAAACTTAAAATGGTTCATACACTTCTACTTACAAGGCGAGACTCTAAAGTTTCAAAAGAAAATAGGGCCCTCTGGTGACCTGGGAGTAGGCAGGAAATCCATACAGCTCACTCCAAAAGCCTGAGTTTTAAAAGAACAAAATGCATAACATGAACCTCACCAAAGATTAAAACTTCTGTGAGAAATACAGCTAACAGAATGAAAAGACAAGTTAAAGACTTGGAGAAAATATTTGTAAATTTCACATAAGAGAAAGACTTGAAACCTAAGGTATAGAAGTATTCTTGAAATTCAAGAAGAAGAAATAATTAATGGTTGAAAATTATAAGAATACTTGAATAAATGCCAAAGATGATGTGTGGAAGCAAATCAGCACAGCTCAAGAGTATTAACCATTTGGAAAATGCAGCTCCAACCCAGGAGACAACTTCATTTCGCTCCTGCTAGAATGACTAATGCAAGATGCTGGCCACACTCAGTGCTGGTGAGAGTGTGGGGCCAATGGAACTCATGCACAGCCATGATGAACAACAACTGGGCACTTTCTTATAAAGCTAATCATGTGCTTACCATTTGACACTGAAATCCCATTTTCTTCTTTGAATGACAAAAAAGAAAAGATATATTTTTGGAAATGATTTTTTATAATGAATACATTGATCATCGACATTTTGAAGGAAATATAATTTAAATCTTAAATACTTAATGTTCACATAAAAGCCTGAGCATGAATGTTCAGTTCATCATCACTAAATACTACAAGCAACCCAAATATTCTTTGGTGGGTGAAAGGATAAAGTCATTGTGGTATGTCCATACAATAGAATACTACTCAGCAGTGGAAGGAACAAACTTTCAGTACATGCAGTAAACTCAAAGGCATCTCCAAGTGTGCTGAGTGAAAGAAGCTATTCTAAAAAGATTTTATGCTTTTTGAGCTCATTTGCATGACACTCTTGAAAAGAATAAACCATAGCAAGAGAGACCAGAGCAGGAATGGCAGGGGTTAGGGTTTGGAAGGAGTTTACGGTCTGAATACAAAGGGAAAGTAGGAGGAAGGTGTTTGGGGTGATGTGTCCTGATGGTGGTGGCAGCTACAGAAACTCATACATCTGTTAAAATTATAGAGCAATACACAATTAAGTCTATTTTACTATGTGTTAGTTTATAAAATAAAATAAGGCCATGTAATGTGGACCATCAATATGGAGCTCAAAATTGCATGCATGGCAACATCATACTACTTCGTGGATTTACTGCCAGTTTCTGTAGAGGAGGCTGGCGTCTCTACCGCCTGCATCTCTCCTGCCGCAGACCCCTTCTTGCATTCCTGCCCTTGATTAGGATGTCCTCCTCTTCCAAATGCTAGTTCTTTCTGAGCCGTGAGACACTTCTGGCTATAACACCTTTTCTGCACTGAGGTGGCCTTTCTAGCTTTCCATAGTGCATCACCTCTGCAGCTAGATATTAATCCTTTAGAGGAAAAAAAGACAAACTTCCTCATATTCCCCAAAGCATGTGACAGGTTGACTCACAGCAAATACAAAGAGAACACGGGACAACAACCACAGAATACTCATGCCGCAGCTGTCTGGAAAGAGCTTGCCCTGGGAAGAGGAAGGCTCCATCCCTGGGTCTGATGCAAGAGCCAGGGAGCCTTGGGTGAGCTGTATGGTGTAGCAGATTTCTGCTTCCTCATGTATAAAACTGAAACAGGGATTTGCTGAGAGAAGTTTTAGCTCTAAAGTTTCACAATGAGGCACCTTGGAGAGCTAGCGGAAGAATGAAAGAGAATGCTCTGATGACATTCACATCTTGGAACACTTCCTGATTTTAGACCTGTGGCTAAGGAGTATTTGTAGGGGCACAGGAAAAGCCACACCTCAGTTCTTACAGGGTGACAACTAGTACAGGGGACTGCATGGGCCAGAAGCCTCTGTATCTGACCCACCTTTAAATTTTTTTTTTTTTATTATGGTAAAATACATACAAGTTTTACCCTTGTAACTATCTTTCAGCACAGTTCAATGCTATTTGTTATACGGCCACCACACCAGCCCTCTCCAGAACGTTCGCAATTTCCCAGCCTGATACCGTCCCACTGAACACTGACTCCACAGCCCCTTCTCCCCGCAGCCCTGCAAGCACTGCTTCCCTGTCTGCCTTGTGAATTTGAACTCCAGGTCTCTTGTGGGAATGACTCCCCAGTAGTGGTTATTTCATACCTGGTTTAGCTGGTAGTGTCCTCGAGGCCCACATGTCACAGCATGTGTGAGCACTTCCGTCCTTCAGAAGGATGAGCAATATCCCACTGTGTGTGACAATCACACTGTGTTTATCCATTCACCCACCAAGTGCATGTTTGGTGGTTTCCACCGATTGGCTGTTTTCACCTTGTGAGGGACCCTGATGCCTCCCCGCTGATATGATCTGGTGGGTGCCCTCAGACAGTCCTGCCCCAACTCCCTCTGTCCTTTCCTCACTTGCCTGAAGAGAATCTCTCCATTCTCGGAATGAATTCCAGCATTCCTCGCATGGTGGTGCCGCCGTTCGGAAGGCCAAGCAGCTTTCCTGTGTGAAGCTCACGGACAGCTTAGGGGTCTCTGGGTTGAGAAGCAGGCCCTCCACCTCCACCAGGGCTCTGATCAGCTGTGGGCCATGTGCCCTCAGGGTGGGCACAGAGTCTGCCAGATGGGCAGGCAGGAGGTGCCCACATCTCAGGCCCACTGCTGCCCTCCTTGCTGGCCAAAGCACCTTGTTCTCCTCCAGGGTAGCCAGGTCACCCCCTGAGATTCGAGTCTCTCCCTGTGCCTAGCTTGTTTCACGCCACTTGCCTTCTTTGCAGGTGACTTAGAGGCAGGAAGGCACTTGCACTTACACTCTGATGACATTTTTAGACTTGGTTTTCTGCACAAACATAGGTAAATTTGCTAATGGCGGTAAAAGTGATCATACGTGCGTTCACACTCTTGTTAGCCTAGTGTTTCTTTTTTACTAAATAGGATGTCATGAGTCTTTTTTCATATCAACATACATTTGCATCTTGATGAATAAACAACAAACTTCTTGATGGCAAATAACGTTATACTGAATTGTTTTAGAAACTGTGGGAGGGGTCCACGCCAATCATTTCATTTATCTTTAAATAAATTTCTCCTTTGGCCTGTTTGCACTGTTTTTGACATATTAGTTTTCCCTCAACTTGCAACAACGCCGGTGACCAGCAGGGTGCGCTCATGGACGTGGCTCCTGGTTGCGCGCAGGTTCCGACCGGCTTCCGGAAGGGATTTTCTGCTGTTCTGCAGTTGTCGTATAGTCCCGACAGCATGGAGTCAGACTCAGCTTCTGACGGACGCCGGTCAGGTCAGTGGTCCTCAGACGCAGCGCAGCAGGTTCCCTGGATGCAGAGGCTGGCTCCTGAGCGCAGGGAGGCACGGTGTCCGCACCATTTGCATCTGGGCTCGCGGAAGCACACGCTGCATTCGTTCCCCTGGGAGGCAAATGCGCAGTCACGACCAAGCTAGCTTGCTGGGCCGGAGGCGTCGCGGCCAGGACGGAAGAGTGCTCCCTCTTCCCTTACCTCCTGCATGCGGGAGGCACGTTCACTGCAGCGCCGCGCTCGCTGCTGCCCGCCCTGAGCGGCGCCTCACCGCGGGTTCCGGCCGGGACCCTGCTCTCGGCCGCGCTCGCCGGCTCTCGCCCCAGGACGGCAGACCGAGCACCGAGCACCGAGCACCGAGCACCGAGCACCGAGCACCGAGCACGGACAGTGCCGCAGGCCCAGCCAGCCTGTCCGGGCCGCGTCAGCACGGCTCCAGGGTCCCTCCTCTGCAGCCCTGTCCCCATGGTGGGCAAGGTCACATCTTTCACACGTCACTGACGATGCCCTGGCCTCCATCCCATCAGAAAGTGCATTGTAGTGTTTTGCTTTTAATATATTTATTGTGTACCCGTTGCTGGGAAATTGGTCATTCCTACGGCTGAATGCGGATGACGCGTGCTCTGACTTTACCTGTGACCAGGAGGTCGCTCGTGTGTGGAGCCGTATCTGGAGCCCCGTGTCCCTCTGCGAACCTGAAACTGGGTGTTCTTGTGGAGGCCACCAAGGTGAGGCCCCCTCACCTCCACTTTCTCACCCCAAGCCTGCCGCTATCTTTCTCTGCTGAGGGGCTCAGGGGCTCCGCAGTGCCTGGGTAGAGAACTTAGGTAAACATCGAAACCGTAGTATGCGACAGGTGCCAGCCTTTCAGAAAGCCACATTCCGGAAAAAGTGTCACAAATATACCGTTAGTCACATTGAAGTCCAGTGACTTAATAGAGCTGTGACAATTGTCTTACTGGAATTTTTTTTTAGCCAAGAGAGCGAAGTTCTCAGAACACACATTTCCCTCTGTGTGGCCAAAAAGATTCATTGTAGGGAGGGAGGTGAGAGAGGGGTTCTCCTGGCTTTAAAAGCGAAGATGTATGCATCATCACCGCCCTCGCGGCAGACCCGGAACCCACTGTTCCCAGGCGCCTTGTCATTCTGCAGCTGTGGAAACTGGGACTCGAAAGGCCCACGGGCCTCTTGCCAACTCGCGTCTCTCAATCTAGTCTTTGGACAGCTAGGACAGGTGATCTTGTGGACAGCTCGTGTTAGAAACAGACTCAGCGGCTGAGGAGGAAATTCATTGCTTTTTCAGGAAGCCATGTAGGAGAGAAATGGAGGTTAAATGACTGTGTGCTTGTTTAATTATTTCAAAAGTACATAGACTTACCTTATACTACGATGCTGGGAGCTAGAATAAAAATGTGCTTATGTATGAGAAAAGCACTTAGTATCTGATGGTGGCTATTAGTCATGCCATTTAATATCTAGGCAGTTTAAGAGGTTTCATTGCTTCTCTAGACAACAAGTCTCTCATTAATCGGGGAAACACTGATATTTAGATCAACAAATGCAAGTCTGCTTAATGGATGAGATTTTTCAAGTTCATTGTCATTTTAAAGGACACATTTCTTTATAATTAAACTGAGGGACCCTGCCAGTTCCCCTTCAAAGGAAAACTTACACCTCAACACCAACGGACTGTGTTTTCTGAACCTCTCTACTTTGTCGCTGTGACCCAAACCACCCCCCCAGCACATTTTCTGACCCTTGGTCCGTCAATTTGCAGCTGGGAGTGCGGCTGGAGACCCGCCTTCGACATAGCTGCTGTGGCTGGTGTTCCTGCAGGTGGAGGAATAAAGAAATTTGCATCTCCCTCCCACACCACAGAACCTTTGATTCTTGTGGCTCTCTCAAAAAAACTGAGCAACCAGGGGACAGGGCAGCTCTGTGCAACCCTTTGCAGAGCCACGAGAAATAATGACGTCATTGCTTTGCTGATTTGCCCTAATAAAAAAGAACAGGGGAGATTTGGATCAATGGAATTATTTTTTTTTTCTTGTAAGGTAGAAATAAAACCAAGTAAGCTTCTCTCCTATTGTATTCTTCATATCTGAGAGCCCAGTGTTCACTTTAAAGTGGAAAGATCTTTTCTATCTTCTTCCCTTGCTTCACACTTAGTTTTTTGGCTCATAAAAAACTCCAGGGAGGGCAGCAGGCATGGAGCGAGTCATTTAGATAGCAGGGTCCTGGCATCTCCACTTAGCTCCACTGCCAACAGTCTAGCAGTGGAAATAGGTGCTGATAAAATCAATGTCGAGTAGGCAAGGGCGTCAGGGGTTCTGACTGCCTGTTCTGAGAGGATCTTTCTCCCCGTCTTTCCTCCCATGTCCCTGAGTATCAGCACACTCTGGCCATCCCAAGAAGCCACCACAGGGCACAGCAGTCCTCTCTCACTACCTGTTGGTTCTAATTCTGGCTTTGTTTGTACACATTTTTCAGAGGAAGCTGTTATGCCATTTCTGGTTGACCAGCTTCTAATGTGTTTCAGGAGAGAGCTTAGCTATTTTCCTGGCAAAACCAGTGCATTTTAAATCCCGAAATCTAGAGAATCTTTTCCTGTCTGAGGGATACATATAGTTTTTCTTGTGTCTTTGCCTTTTGCAGGGTTTAAGAATATGTTCGTTTCTGAATCACTGACTTGGATGAATTTAATTAGAAGCTGTGGGTTTTTCTTTCTTTATAGAAAGCCATGCGATGTGAACAACCGGGTCTTCTCTGTTCCTGGAGAAATTCAGGCAGGCCTTTTACTTAGGTGGAGATTTCCGGTTACCTGTCACTCTTCTCTAATGCATCCCTCTCCAGTGCCGAAGGGTGAGGGTGTCGGCAGGGTCTGGGGAAAGCGGACAACCATCTGGTGTCTCCTGCGGGCCCACGTGGGGGCTGAGGCTTTGCCATCTGACCAGAGCAATCAGTTTCCAAGTGCGAGAATTTTTATTTTTAACAAATTTGAGCAGCAAGCAATTTTGGGATACTACTGCAGTGTGGTTGGGGGCTTTTTTCTCTGATGTTTTACCTAGGAGTAAGGGGACGAAATCCCAGTGGCCTCCTCTGGGGGCTCTACACCCCTTCTCTGGGGATAAGGGGTTGCATCAGGGCCCTCTCCGGATGATGCCTCTGAGGCTCAGCCCTGGGCGCAGAAAGCTAGGGCAAGGGCACAGCAGCAGCCTGTGCTTCTGCCAAGGGAGCACGCAATCACTAAGCCCATAGCTGCGGGACCGCAGGGGACAACTGTGACGCCTGTGCCCAGCTCCACGTGCAGAAGAGGGGCGGTGGAGGTGGACAGAAGGCCCGACTGGAGCTGGAAGCTGTTGTCAGACTGATGTGGAAGTCATGGCAGCTTGGCATACTTTCCACCCAGTAGATCTGACTTAGGTATGCAGCTGGGTGGCAGCTGGCTTTGAGGATCGCTTTTCTGAGGAGTCTCCTACGCACCTTTGACAACCACTGAGAGCGCCGATTTTCAGGACTGGTCAGGCAATGTCTCTGCCCCTGTTCAAGACACACAGAATGCTGCTGGCCAAGGAGCTCCTGTGGTTCTCACCTCAAGTCAGCCAGGAGCTGGCGGTGAAGGCCCGGCAGTGGTCCAGCTGTTCTGGAGCTGCGGCGGCTTTGTCTGTTTCCTTCTGAGGAGGCAGAAGTAGGGCCTGGTGTTCGTCTCAATCACTCAGATGTTTTTTCCCTTCGCTTCCAAGTACCCGTTTTTTAATTTCAAAGAAAACCCTTGTTAGCATAAATATGGAGTTGATGTCACAGTAGAGGCATCAACCAAACAGCCATGACCCGGGATGCTTTTCTCATGGCTTCAGGATTCAGCGCCCACCTAGCAGAGTGAGGGCACACGGGTAAGCTGGGGCTTGGGAGATTTTCTTTTGGAAAGAAAGTGAAGCAACAACAGGATTTGGACCCAAAGCACATGCAGGGAAAGAGACTGGTGTGACGGGGTCTCCAAGGACATATTTGCAGTTTTTGTCACGGATGTGACCCTTTTTATAGTTGAGGAAACTGAGGACTGAAAGCAGAAATGCCATGCCCAGAGACTGCGGCTGGCACAAGGCAGCGGGCTGGAGCCTCAACCTTTGGGGCAAACTTTACCGCTGTCCAAGGATACCTGGAGGGGCCACACATCCTTCTAGAAGAGTTTGAGTTCCTAGAAGCGCAGAGGCAGGACTGTGACCATATTTTTGCAAAGTGAGTGTTTCTATTTCTTTTCTCTCCAGGGCGGGCAGGGCAGATGACCATCTCGTGTTCACTGCTGGCTCGAGGGTGAGGAACTGCAGCTCAGACGATGAACAGCAGGCCCAGCGCCGTGCTGCTGCTGAGCGGTAGAATGAGCCCCAGACCATGTGCCTGTGACTCTCAGCACCCCTACACCAAGGTGCACAGATGCCTCCCACGCTGCAGTGTGCTGTGAGGACAGCACATCCAGGGATGTTAAGAGCCAGGGATGGCCAGGCGAGCATTTACAGGCAAAGCAGACTTCCTCCCAGGGGCACTGAGACAAGTGACTGGGCGTGTGGACGGCAGGGCCAGCCCTCCTTGTCCTTCACTTGGCTCTGGGCTTCCAGCCACTTTCACATGAACAGAGATTGCGGCCGTTCCTGCGGGCAGAGCGCCTCCCTGGGCTCCGTTCGGACTTTCTCTGCAGTGACTTCCCTCCAGCGGTGCTCACTGTTGCCTCGTGCCAGCCTCTGCCTGGGCCTGAGCCCCTGGGATCCAGGAGTGACAGGGCTGCCAGATGGGACCTGAGAAATGTCTGTCCATCTCTAGTAAGTTGTTTCCCCTTATGTGCTTCCCACCTTCTTTCTCTCCAGAATATTTACTTTTGATTCTCAAAAGCTATTCTGTTTATGTAAGTACCCCTCTATCTGCCCTCCGAGCCCCAGAAAAATAGGCAGTGCTGGTCCCAAGGAGAATGCGGAGTCTCTGGAAGGGAAGAACTCCTGGCCTAGAGGCCCGGCCCTGATGAAGCACTCAGCAGCGCTGGAACCAATCTTTTTTTCCATGTCGTGTGACATCCAACTTCACGGTTGGGGAGCCTTTCCCCTTTGCTGGTATTTTTGCAGAGAGAGAGAGAGAGAGAGAGAGGGAGCAAGCGAGAGAGCAAGAGAGAGAGAAGGCAGTGTTTGGTGGGGACCGTGGGCTCAGCAGTGCTCATCATGGCCAAGGGTCTGACCGGAGGGCAGGGGGCTTCGGTTCCTCCTACTGTATGTTGCTGACCAGTCTGTGGCTGCCGCCCAGTGGCTCGGTCCCCTCTCCAGGCCTGTTTCAAGAGTCCTTCATCATAGAATCTCGGGATGATAAATGTATTTTGATGTATATTTCCACCCCTGCAATGCTTTCTGTGTGGCCGATGCTATTAAATGCATGCTCTGGGAATCGTAGTAATTTTCTTGAAATAATAAAGAATCCCCCATGCTGGGGAAAGACATTCAACATCATCAAATCTCTGTCAAAGGGCAGAGGGGAAAGGCTTGTCCCAGGCTTGTCCTCCACTGGGCCTGAAAGCAGCATGGAACTGTGACAGCACGAAGGTGACACTGAGCCCCAGCTTCTCAGAGAGCCACCTCCACCAGGCACCACTGGTCCTGCCTCAGTGGGCCAGCCAGGCATGGGTGGCTTAGCACAGCGGCCCTAGAAGAGTTCTTTGCCCATCAGGAATGATCCTACTGGACGCGTCTCTTATAGCAACCTTAGGGTATGCAGTTGTTTTTTCTTTGCTTGATAGATGTATCAATACCTAGCCACACACTCAGCCTTCTATCCTTTCTCATATGTTTTAGCAAACTCAGGCAAGCCAGTCCAAACCCTGTTTGGGCTGGAATGGGGCATCAGAAAGGAACAATGAACACACAGAGCCCCGCACTGGAGACCTGCTGTGTTTTAACCACCCGATAACACATCCTCCGGAGACCAGAACTCTGTACTGATGGAGTTTGGGCAAAATTTTTTAATGCCTAAAAAAAATCTGTCCAGAATGGTCTTAAAGGACAGGATGCCTGTTTTCCCTCTTTGCTACATAGGTCTTTTTTTTTTTTGAGGGATGCTGGGGATTGAACCCAGGGACGCTCTACTTCTGAGCTAAAGCTCTAGCCCTTTTTATATTTGTTTAATTTTGAAATAGAGTCTTGAAATTTTGATCTTCCTGCCTCTCACCCTCCTGAGTAGCTGGATTACAGGTCTGTAAATAACTTTTTAAAGGAGAAAAATCAAGTATTCTGTTGAAAGTCTCTTACTGTGATCCACTCTATGACACCATGGCGTTCCTGGCAAGGTCCTCTCCTCTCCACCGGGGCTGTGTTCTGAGCAGCGATGCGTCTCAGACACAGAAGAGGGGAGCAGGGAGACGCCCATGACACGGGGAGCTTCCAGAGCCCCGTCTCCCTCAGTCAGGCCACACGCTTGTGTTGTAGAACTGCAAATGCCCTTCTCACAAGCCCTGCGCTCCCAGGTCTGAAGCTAGGGCTGGGGGCCCAGGCCGACTCTGGTCTGGGGAACACCAGGTGGCCTTGGGCCCGGGTGGGTGGCAGAGAGGCCTGGCTCTGGAGGGACAAGGCACGCTCAGGAACTACCCTGGGGGAAGACGTATTTCTAGGAAGAAGTCACCGAGATGGCCCTTGAACACGAGGCACAGCCGCACAGCTGTGCCCAAGTCGAGGTGCTGCGGACCTGGACTCTTGGCGGAGCCCCTGCCCGAGGACCAATGACAGGCTCCTTGTAGTCAGCCTTAGCCCCGCCACTACTCACCGTCCTTACGCTGCCGTTGGCCTTGGCACTGGTCTGGCCTGGCACCTCCAGGGCCTTGGTGTCTTGGACCCCGGGGTGCTCTCTGGTGCCCCCAGCCTTGGCCTGGCTGCCTGGAGGCTGAGGGCGAGTGCCTCATTCCCCACAGCCCCACTTATCCCAAGAGGGAGGGCACAGTACCCCCTGATGCTCAACCCTGCCAGTCCAGGCCTGGGCAGCAGCACCCTCCATGGGTCCTGCCCAGGCTTACGGTGAAGGCTTCTGTCCCCGGAGCTCTGCAGTGGGCAGCTGTGGGGCTCTCCTGGCTCACCCGTGCCCACCTCTGACGTCCACAGAGGAAGTTTCCCCAGCCGCTGGCTCCTGACCCCCTCCCTGCCTCACGCATGCACTCACGGTGCTCTCTGGCACTTGGGAAGAACCATCTGTATGTTCAGGCTTCAAGCAGTGCTTTTTCAACCTTGTGCACTTTCCCAGGCCAGGGTACACAAGGTGACTGCTTTTATCCCAGAGGTACATCTAGAGTCCCAGCTTGCTTGGGGTCCCCTCAGACTGCTCCTCACCATGGGACAAAGGCTGGCATTAGCATGTACCCCCGGCCTTCCCTGAAACCACCTGGGTATCTACATGCTCTGAGAGGCAGCAGTGACCACCAAGTGAGGCCAGGCCCAGCGATGTCCTTCACCTATGCAAGCGTGGCTCAGTTCAGTGAGGATGGAGCCCTATGGAAGGGTACTTTCCAAGGCCAATTCATGTGCTGCTGAGTGAGTGCTAAGTGTCTGCTCCACACTGATTTTCAAAGCACCTTGAGCAAGGTATGCTAGTACTACGTCCAGGCCAGCGTGCTACACCAGGTCTTCCGCTGCCTCCCGGCCATGGACCTCGCTCATGGTCATACTGCAGGCTGTTCCATCATGCTGACCTGACCACATCTCCCATCCTGGCTGACCCATTGAGGCTCCCCCAGGAAGGCAGCCCGTCTACTTCCCTCCTGCTGTTTCCCTTTAGCTGGCTGGTGTGTAGAATCTTGCCGGGGCCTCTCAGGACCTCCCTCCCTGGCTTTGCCATGACTCACAGATGCCCCAGAAAACTAGCTGTGCTCCTGAGACACAGCCTGTGCTCCTGGAAGGCCTGCCTGCACTGACCGATGTGACCATCTCTGAGGACCCTGTGCACAGAACATTGCGCATGCATAGGCAGCTGGGGACGGCGACCGTGTCTTACCTTGTACATGTTGCACAGCCCAGGCTGGCTGCGGGCATGAGAGGGCAGAGGGCTCCTGCTCTGCTTTAGCCAGGGTACCTGCCGAGGACACAGAGTGGGTGGCGTGAGTCCAGGGTGGGCACTGCCTGCACACCCCACAGTCCTCAGCAAAGCTCCTCTAGGATGAGCGAGGCCAGGCCCAGGTGGGTGGAGCAAGTGGGAGACGGAGGGTTGTGGGAGAGTGCTCAGGAGGAGCAGTGATGGGCTGACAGACGGGCGGAGCCTGGAGTAGCTAGGGGAGAAGGAGGGACAGGACCCGGAGAGAAAGGAGAAATTAGGGGAGAGATGACTTCTTCTGGAGTCTACTTTGGGGTTCTCTGCCAAATTATGTGACTATATGTTGTCAGTATTGTTGCAGGCCCTGGTCACAGATGGTTTGTAAGACATTAAGGAGACGGGGCACTGCTGGTCAGGGCGGCGTGGGGCCGACTTCCTGAAGTCAGTGATAAAATGGATACCATTCACATTCTATTCTGTTTGCAGTTTTGTTTTCTTTTGTAACAAGTGTGTTAGCTGTGCATTCAATTTATAAGCATAATTCACTCGTGCTCTGTGGAGTTCACTGTACGGCCTCTTCGACCTTTCTGTAGGGTGCAAGGGAACATCTTCAGAAGTAGCAGTGTTCAGTCACTCTAGCAGTCACACAGAGTGACACTTTCTTACTGTTTTCTCCCTTGTTATGCTGAAGTTTGGGAACTTCAGAACTTAATATTCCATGGCATAAATTATATGTTAACCTCAACTCTACTGCTACAGGATTTGCCTCTAATTTAGTATACTCTCGTCATTCTATTCATTATGAGAGTATATGCCACAGCAGCAAAGTTCAAGAACTGTGACTCAAGAGTAGTATTATAGGACCAAGGAAAATGACCTGTATAAAGTGCCTAGTGACTATCGACACCAAATGGAAAGAGAGAGAGAGAGAAGAGAGAGGGAGGGAGGAAAAGGAGGAAGAGAAGGAAAGAGACGATGTGGGGAGCCTATCTTCCAATGATGGAAAGATAAAATTGATAACATGAGTTTCAAGAGATTTCTTGTACTGGTTACAGATGAAATGGATTTTTTCTGAACAAATCAATGGTCGGTATGCTCAGAGATGACTACGTAGCGTCACCCGGAATGTTAGCGTACTCACAAGTACAATGGCACCTCGGGTCACAAGCTGAATAAACTTTCCCCATAAAGTCAGCATTGAACCTAACTAGTGAATTTGATTTGGTTCTTGTCCAACTTGGTTTGTGACCGGAATTGCTGAAAGAATTAAGTTTGCGAACCGAGGTGCTGCTGTATTCATGAAAGTTGTGCTGGAGTTCACAGACCATTTGCTTAGCTGTGTGTCTGAAATGGTGCTTCCCACCTGCGTGAGAGGGGCTGTTTCTATGCTAGCAGGGATCACTGGTAGCTTTAATTAATGAGTAACGCACTGTGAGAGAGACACTTGGACATACATCCTAGAGGATGACCCCACGGACAAGCCTGCGATCGTTCTGTCTTGATAAGATGTAGCTGTCCTCGACTGGTGGGGTACAGACACATCCAAGCTAGGAACTCGTCAATGGCAGAGGAAAACAGTCCCTTATGTTCTTCTGTGTGACACAAAGCCCTTGCCTCGCTCTGTCCCCTCTGCCACCATACCCAAAGGACTTCACTTTCTCTTTAGCTCTTTCTCTTTTTTACTATTTTATGAAATAGAATGATTTTAGGGCATTTAAAAGATAGTGATAGATACAACAGAAAGAATTCTTAACCTGTTAAGTCAGAGCTTGGTAAGGATTCCCATCATCCTTACATCCTAAATCCGTATCATGGGAGATTTCTATGTGGGCTCAGATGGAGATAAGGATCTGTTTCCCCCCAGTAATTATCTGTTTTTCAGATATCAAGCTAAGCTCGACACCAACCAGTCAGAATTGCCTTTTACCCAATGGGGTTAAGGCTTTTACCAGCAGCAAAGTCAATAATGGGGGAAATCAGTGCCTTAACATGAAGACAAGTTTGAAAGGTCGAGTTAGGAGAAGACCTACTGCAGGGCGGGTCACACGGAGGGAGGGCAGCCTACGCCCTGCACTTGTCCTCACTGTCAGCTACCAAGCTGGCCCTCCATCTATGCACTAGCCAGCATCCCCCTGGAGCAGAGCCAGCACAGCTCCTATTGGTTTCCTGAGGCTCCTTTGTCACCCTCTGAACACATCCCCACCATGCAGCTCAGGAGTGGCAGCCACTGGTGCTAACTCATTCAGGGGGTATCTGCTGCGTGTACTGGGCCCATCTACACAGCGTGCATCCTTCCCCTGATAGCTCCAGGATGATGCATTGAGAGAAACATTAAAAACGACAGAACAAGAACAGTCACAATAGAAACACTAAGATACCATGCTGTCAATGGAGAGAGAATGTCTTTGTGGATACAAGCGGATGAGTGAGAGCTTGTGAGCTCCATTTGCAGCTGTGGAAGGAGTGCAGGTGCTCAGACTTACCTGCCCGTCCTGTCACAAGGTCATGGAGAGACCCACTGCACAGTGCAGCTGATTAGCCAGTATCACAAAAAATGGTAACTGAAAGTTTACATGCAATTAGTACACCATCCTTGGTCTGTTAAACTGTTTAATTAGCGCATAAAAGGCAGAAATATACATAAAGCAGAAGTTCATAACAAAATCAAATTGTCATACAACTGCCAGAGGCAATCATCATTAAATATACAAACGTAACTTACAAATGGTGCAGCAAAACCACTCCCAGTACAGGCAATCAATCCCAACATAACCCCTCCCACTTCAGCACAGTGGACCAGTGTCCCGAGATAACAGAAGGAGATAGTAAGTGGCTGGTGCTGGAGCCAGAGACACCCAAATTAATAACTGATCCAGGTAAAGACACTGCAGAGGGAATTCCTAAAGGAATAGCAGAAGGTGTCAGAGTGGGAACAGAAATGAACACAGCCCACTGTATTTAGAGTTTCTCTACAGGATTTCTGGCCACGACTCTTGCCAGACTGTTCCAGTAAGGGGCTGGGTCAGGTACCACAGCCTCACAAGAAGATGTCACACGGGTCTCTGCGAGCTCTCCTGCAATCTGGCGAGCAAAGCCACCACCTCCAGTCATGCCTGTGGGGCTGAACGCACCCTCCAGGTGCCACGCAGATGCCCTCTACTATGTCCTTCATGTCATCTCCACCCGGCACACACTCATGGGATCACCGACACAGGTACAGAAGCAGGATACCACATTAACAATGGAAAATGAAGCGATTTTAGAAGTAAGGATGTTTAATGAAATTAAAATACAATGAAAAATATCAGGAAACAAACACTGGTTAATTCACAAGGCTGATCATACCCCACAGCACTGAATGGCTGGGCCCGTTCGTCTCCTGCACTGTCACAACTAGAGGCATATAAATAAGTAATCTGCTGCTGACTAAGGACATGCTGAGACTAGCAGGTTACAAAGAGAGTTTTTAATGTAAAATAAGTAGAGAAAAATAGGCAGAGCCATCATATGGGAGTCAGCTCTAAAGGCATAGTGCCATGGAGGAGGACTAGTGCCTCTTACCTGCCGTCCTTTTGTGTGAACTGTCTGGGACTAGCAACCCCTGAGCACCTCAGCTCTTTAGTAAAATGACAATTCCTTAGACAAGGAGTCTCCAGAGCTCACAACTTCAAGCTGTTGGCTTCTGAGGCTTAAGTAGCTCTGGTCACTACTGACACAAGGAGGGGGCTGGTGTGTGCTTGATCAAGCAAGCAGGGTGGTGAATGAGCCCGTGCATCTAGCCTCTGCCCCAGGCCTCCCTCTCCCCATGAGCGCCCCCCTTTCCCCATAAGGCCCCACATTCCGGGGAACCGGAAAACCTGTTCCTTAAAGGCCACAACACAGCCCTCCTTTCTTTCTGAACAACAAAGGAGAATGCGCTTTGTAAATGCACTTTTCATTGCGGCTCTCAGAAGAATATGCCTCCTCAAGGCATTCTTAGTGCACTTGCCTTGAATGTCAGCCCCAGCTGCACAAAGACTGGTGTTGTCCCCGCATTCCATGCCCTGGGGGTGGCAGTTCCTCACGTGGCACCACGGGCCAGCATGCCCCATGGGAGGGTGCTGGGGCAGGCCAAGCAACCCTTTACGGTAATGGGGGCCGTTAGAGTCCTGCTGGATTCTGCCATGAGAACTCTGTTCTACACAGATGAGCAGACACTGCTTTCCCAAGTGTGTGTGGGGTGCCGGCACGTGGCCCCCCATCGGCACCCTGTGTACATCAGACAGCTATTTCAGGAACAGAGGTGGTGAGGCCAGCTTTCGTCATGAGTGCCAGTGACAGGTCTTCAGATTGTCTTTGCAGGCATCTTAAGTCCATTCAAAGGACTTTTCTAGCATATTAAAATGAGAGCCCTCCTGATTTATACACACAGCAAACTAAAATCAGGAATGAAGGGCTGGGGATATAGCTCAGTGGCATAAGCGCCTGCCTGGCAAGCGCAAGGTTGTGAGTTCGATCCCCGGTACAGCAAAAAAAAAAAAAAATTAGGAATGAAAACAACATTTAAAAATTACTCCCTAACAGCTGACACCAACGAATACCCCAGACTCCTAGGGAGGTTGTGGATCTGTCACTGTGTGGAGTGAGTTACATGTGGAACTCCAGTGTTTGACAACCAACAGATAACCCTTAACAAGGCTGCCGAGTTGGACACACACTGTCAATCAGCCCTCCGCACACCTCAGCAGGGACCCGTGAGGAGCCGCGTCTGGCTGGCCTATGTTTGGAACAAGCCACTTATTATCATAAATGCATAAACGTTTAAGGGACTATTTTGGCACCCAAGGGCAAGGCTGTTCTTTAAAAATTTTTTATACTGAAAACACTCAGTAGTGGAAAGAGTGGATACCTTAAAATTTTAAAAACAATTACTTAAAAATTATTCTTATTTTTAAAAATCCTACGAAAATGTTTTTTCCAGGATCCTTGGTAACCTAGGCATACTATTTGCAAGGGGATTGACTGCATCTGAGTCCAGAATCTTTTTTTAAAAACACTGAAGTATCAGGGATTTCCAGCAACGATGGCTGTAATCTTGCAGGAAGGAGGAACACATGTATGCATACATAATTCCACTTAGAGCCAGTCACAATGCTAGATATAAATGCTTTCACAACTTTATTTCAACTTAAACCATTACCACCAAAATGAAGCTTGTGGAATTTATGCTAGTCGGCATTTAATCTTTTTTTTTGGGGGGGGGCACAGTTTTAACATATTTTTCCTGTTCCTTCGATTGAGCAGAATTGCTTAAGTTTTCAACACTGGCTATGTCTGCGTGTGAGGTTCTTGGCTGAACAGCCAGATTTCACTTGGTGTCCAGGACTCACCAAGGCACGGTGTGGCTTCAGAGGCTCGTTTGGAAAAGTACCCCCACTGAAACCATATTAGAAGGAAGTCAGATGACTGACTTTCGGGGTGAGGAAGTGCTGCCAGAAAGTAGAATAAGTGTCTACAAATACATACTGAAGCCACAGGCCAGAATACGAGCTCCGTAAGACTTAAGCCACACCAAATGTTATTCACAGGAAAGTCGTCCAGTGTCACCACCTGAAATCCCAGTCGTCAAGGGGTGGTAGTCCTTGCCCTGAGAGCGGTGATGCCCACAGGGAATGTGAAGCTGACATTAAGTTTGTCTCAGCATTTCACGACCATCAGCTACCTGAAGGGCTGACATAGCCCTTCAGGAACGTGGTGGGGTGAGGTTGCCCTGGGGCTGCTCTGAGGTGCACCCTCATCATTGGGCTGCTGTTCCTCACTGTACTCAAAGCCTCTCAGGTTCCGAAATGCTTTTCAGAATAGTGTAACACAGAGGCAGGAGAAGTCTTAACAGATTTTTGAGGACAGCTACTAAATCAGGGCCTTTTTAAAGAATCACCTTTCTTTCCCAAATTCCCAACTATCCACTTGGAATTAACTACTTAACAAACTGCAGCACGGTTAAGGACCCCACTCACCCTAGAGCCCATTCTTGGAAAATGGGCTACCAAGAGTAGTTTTCCTGTGGTACACTGTTATCCCTGGAACATCTGCATTTCAATAATAAAACTTCCAAGATTCTATAAACAGTTTAATGGGATCACAAGACAATAAGGTTTTGATTCACAGGCTTTCGTTTGTCCCCCCACCCGCTTCCACTAGACTCAGACCGAAGAGAAAGTTTACTCCCGGCGAATTTAAATCCAGGAGTCTGTTCACAAGGCCCCCTCCACCCCAGGCAGTCATTGTACAGCAACAGGAAGCGAGCAGCACTGACCAGGAGACAATGAGCAAAACCCAACCTTGAACCCCACAGTGCGGCGCAGAGGCGGGAGTCAAAGCCCCGAGCCCAGGGCTAGAGAGACCTTTGAAAGTGGCGCTCTGAGCAACGCCCACAGCCTGGGCGCCCTGGACCCAGTGCAGAAGGGCCTTGCCTTTCCCAGTCACACCCTCATCACTGTCCCATGCAAGAGGAGAAAGAGCGGAATGAGATGAAAACAGCCTAAGCAGCAGCCCACGCCCACTCCCTGGGCCATGAGCATTTTCCAGCAGCCCAGGACCTGAGACACTCAGAGTACACATCAGACCTCCTCACTAGCCTTGTCCACCTGGACCTGTCCTTTTCTCTTTCCAGTTAAGCTACAGCTCTTCTACTCCACAGAGCTCACCTTGCTGGAGCCCCGCTTGGGCGCAGCCCTGTCACTGCTAAAGAAGCGCCCGATGGAGTCAAGGATGCCTGTGTCTCTGTGCCTTGGGAGGAAGCCATGCCTGGCATGGTCCATGGTACTTGCTGTGGCCAGGTACTTGGATCCGTGCCTCTGGGAGGGTCTCTTCTGTGACGCCATCACATCCAGGCCCTCGGAAGCTGCTGCAGTGTCTTCTTGGATGGTCTGGAGCTCGTCGGACTCTGAGGGCCTGTCTTTGAAGGTGTTGTCCTCCCTCCCCGGGGCATCTCGGGAAAAGAGGCGGATCAAGTGGGGGCGGCTCCTTGGGTCAGCTGGGTGGGCGTCCTGCCAGGCATTCTTTGGGTCCGCTGTGCGCTTGGAGTCTGTCACCGCCGTGTCCTCAGACGAGGTCCCATTGTTCTGGTTCGCATCTGCCTCTCCTGCAAACAACAATGAGATATGAATACAGGCCTGTGCAAAGCAGTGCGTGGGACAAAGCTGCTTTCTTCCAGGGGTCTTGAACTAGCTGTCTCCTATAAAATCCACAGAATATGTGCAGTGCCGTGAAGTCCCATGGCAGCCTCCAAGTGCCTTTGACAGAAACCAACCTGGAATGGGCATCCTCGGTGAGGCTGTCTGTCAGAAGGTGCTGGGGTCATTCAGTGTCTCAAGGCTTGGCACCCTGGGTAAGACATACTCGGAGAGCCCAGGAGTGCAGACCCCTTGGGGGGCACTTGCTACCTAAAAGGCCACTGGTGCATAAGGTGGACATGCTGGGGCTTTTACTTGACAAAAGGTGTTTTCAGTGATGTTGGTAAAAATGGAACTGCCCACATCTTTTTGCAATTCATGCCTAAAGAAACGGGGCGTTTAGAATTGTTCCGCTCCAAGATTCCACAGGAGGCCTCTCGCTTTAGAGAACTGCTTATTCAGGACATTTTGATCTGGCTTCTCCTCTGTAAGCAGCAATAACTAGAATACCTAATGCGGGAATGGGGTAGTTCATGTTGTATACCACTACCTCATAGCCTCCTACTAAAAATAGAGCATTTCTCTTACAAAGGGCAATATACCCATTTTGCTCTGACATTACGGCAAATTAGGTTTAAGTGAACACAATTTAGTTAATTTCTTCCCCAAACTTTATTACTCACCTGTAGAAAATACAGATTCGCCAATTTTCCTGCAATATCATCCATGCATCTACCTGTCCATCTATGCACTGATATTTACTCAGTAGCACCCATCTACCTATTCATTTATCCATCCATCCATCCATCCATTTGCCCACCCACCCTCCCACCCATCCACCTGTTTACCCATCTTCCACCCATTTATCTATCTGTCCATCCATTATTAATTAAACACGTACTCAGTACAATGAACTCCTCTCTAGGTGTCTGCACTCCAGTGATGAAGGTGTGGTGACTGTACATAAGACCACACTCACATTCTGTCAGCGGAATCGGATATTGAACAGTGCTTATCAAAATGATCTGGTCACATGCTAACCCCCTCCATGACTGTGATCTTATTTAAGAGCAGGGTCTTCGTAGATGTGGTCCCATCAAGGTGGGGTGGTATCACAATAGGGTGGGCCCTAACTCAGTGACTGCTGTCCTTGTAAAGAGAGGAAAATCTGGACTCTGCTTCACTAATGCACAGTGAAGATGTGACGAAGGGTCAAATAGAGGCAGAGGCTGAGTGACACAGACACAAGCCACAGCACACAGGGGACACTGGCACCAACAGGCACAGAACAGATTGTTCCCTGTAACTTTTGGACACCTGATTTAGGATTTGTGGGCTCCATAGCAGTGAAAGAAAGAATTGCCACTGTCTCAAGTCCCCAGCTTGTGGTGCACTCTGCTCAGCTGGGGAAGTGAAGGACACAGCACATGAGAGTACCAGGAGGGCGCTCGGGAGGTGGCACCTGAGGGCAAGTGTCTGGGCCTCGGGGACACGGGTGCGAGGGGTGCGAGTGCGTTCTTGCTCTCTGGAGGCCTGGCGGGAACGAGCTCTGTGCTCGACTGTGCTACACTGAGCTGCAGCAGGCGAGGAAGGATGCGGTCCCAGGAGGGAGGAGAACGGGGCAGAGCAGGTGCAGACCAGAAGGGGAAGGGGAGTGGGAGACCAAGAGCCAGGGGCTGAGGCCATGGGGGAGGAGTCCAAGTGCAGCCGCCACCCTCTTTCATCTGGAGCAGTGTGTCAGGCAGCGGAAGCCAGAAGTCTGTTCTGAACCCGAGTAAGGAAGTAGCTGGCTGTGGCCGGGAAGAGGTGGTGCAGGAATGCAGGCCTATGTGGGGTCCATCCTGTGAGATGGCCAAGGCCTGGGCTAGAGGGCCAGGAGATGGCCCCTCTGAGTTTGTATTCCAGGGGAGGCAAAAGCACTAAGCGGTAAAGTACCCCAGAGCCAGGAGAAGGACAAGGAGTGGGCAGGCCGTAGGTGGGGCTACGGGTTTCCTCACAGGGCAGCTTTAGCTGTACTGGGTCCCAAGGCTGCCCCGGGCTTGATAACTCTCAAGGAGCAACCACAGTGTAACCTGCTGTTGGCCAGGTGCGCTGCTGGGGAGGATGTGGTGCCAACCCACCGAGGGCAGGGTGTGGGCCTTCCCCACGGGTCAGAGAGGGCACGCTGCATCTCCCTAGCAACACACTGTCCACAGGAGTGACATGGCTGTGCTGGGGATGCTCGGCCCCAAAAGTGGCATTGGGGGCTGACCACAGAAGCCCTCTGTGTGGCGTGGATTAAAGTTCCAGATTCCTACAAGACAGCGTGTCCAGCACTGACCAACATGAAGCTTATAAACAGTTCAGTCAGAGTGATCATCTTAGCTGGGAGTGGAGGTGCACACCTGTAATCTCAGCACTCTAGAGGATGAGGCAGACGGATCGTGGTGAGTTCAAGGCCAGATTGAACTATATAGTGAGACCCTGTCTCAAAAAACAAAATAAAACAACAAAAAAATCCCCAGAGTAACCACCGTCTCATGGAGGGGGGGGGGCACAGCAGTCGGGACACACCAGCACCCACATCATGCTCAGAGCTGAGCTCCCAAGCAGGCCTTCTAGCAATCGACGGTCTTAGGCCCACTGTGTGACCACCTCTCTGTGCAGCTCCCATGAACTGGAGAGTCACAAACACACTAGTGAGAACAATAGTTTCTCAGGCACTTTGACATCACACTGATTCATACTCCAAGGATCTCTATTTGTGTTGAGAAGACATTAACCTGGGGGATGCTAAGGTTTTAACTAAATGTCTGCGAGAGTTTTTCTCCTAAGACAGTGTTTACACTTGTTAACATCTTGGTATTGGTAAGGAGGAGGATGAACCCATAGGAAAATTGTCTGGGCTGGGAGACTCCACCTGCTCTTAGCCGCTACTCTTTGGGGCCAGTGAAGCAGGTAATGTTTCCATCAGTCGTGAACTCACACACACACCCCACACATACACGTGAGCAGAGTGCCACTAGAACTGGAATTCAGGTCTCTTCCTCCTCCTCTGCAATGCTTATAAAAACTTCATGGCCTCCCAGAGCAGCAGAGCTGCTCAAGGCCAGGAGGATGGCCTGTGGCTTCCAGCTGCTACCCTAGGGGTGACGCTGGGGCAGCAGGGACAGCACATTCTGGTGCCAGCTGCTCTGAGGGCTCCGACTCCAGTGTGGTTCCTTCCTGTACTTCTCCACATCTTTACCACGCTCTCTGCATAACTGAAAAGCTCTGCCTTTCCTGAGCACGTACAGTGGCATTGGCTTCTCATCCAGGTCCCACATGGGGCTGTGTGGGGGCAGCTCCTTGAGAGCCTAGGCGGGTTGTTTCCTTTGCTATGCATATTGGTGCAAACAGGTATAGATACAGTGCACATTCCCACAGATCCCGATGTATATGGAGTGTGTTTCATACATATATATATATATATATATATATATATGGCAAAGATTTCAAACTCTTTCATCAAATCACACAGATGCAGAAACTGCCCCATCAATGGCATTGATCATGCAGTCAATCAATGACAAAGGCCTTATTTCTAAAGCAGAGTCACACCACTCCTGTGACACATTACAAAGGTTTGCTAGGGGCAGGGTGCAAGGTGAACAGCAGGAGGTCAGGGTCACTGTGGGCTTCTTCAACCTCCCAACAGACCTGTATCTATACCAGCCATGCCCCGTACTTGGGAATAGGGTGCCCAGTCCAGGATGAGTGGAGAAGATGGGTGGGGATGTGTGGTGGCACCATTCTTTAGGACTGCTGGCTGAATTCCGCTTCCTAGGAACACTGACACTTGCAGCATATTTACTGAATGCACTGCTGCCCTTTAGGGTTTGCAAAAGTGACACAGAGACCACTGCGGCTGGTGGAAAGCTGGAGTCTGTGAGGCCATGAAATTGATTTATAAGTTGCAGGAGCAACAGAAACAGCTAAAGAGTCTAACACTGTGGCTGTGCTTTATATCCTGTGGCTAATATAAATTAATGCAAATGTGAAAGGAAAACAATAGCTATATTGTACATAATTAAATGCATTAACAAAACACAAGAGCATCTGAATACTAATATTTTTACAACACTTGGGCTTTGTGAGTCTGAATACAGTTATTTGTAAGGCACAGAGAAAGCATTTATGTCTCCAAAGTAGCTTCTCCCAGCCCATAAGAAGCCTGTGGGAAGCCTAAGCCTGTGCATGTGTAGTGATTTTGGTGGGGACATGCATTGTTTAAATGCATCCATTAGTATTGCCTTCAGCCAAGTTAAAGCACAGTGCAGGCTCCTAGTTAGATTATATTTATGGAACAGAGCACTTGTTAATCTACCACAGCAGCACAGAAAAGCACACAGGCCTTGATATTTGGGGCGGTATTTACTGTTTGCAGAGCTCTGCTATTACCTGAAGAAGGCTCATCTCCCACTGAGCTGGCACCCAAAACAGGGCATGGCGGCCCCTCTCTGTGTCTGCTCTCTGGGGCGTTCTGTCCACTTGTCCCCTAGTTCTGTTGTTCCTCCTTTGGGATAGTTCTTACTTGACAGCAAACCCCCTTGTTTTCAGTACTGGGTTTGAACCCGGGGCCTCTACACTGAACATCATCCCCAGTACTTTTACTTTTTTCTTTAATTTTTGAGACAGGTTCTTGCTAAGTTGCTAAATTGCCCAGGCAGGCCTCAAACTTGCAGTCCTCCTGCCTCAACCCACCAGAGTGCTGGAATCACAAGCATGCACCACCACACCCAGCTTCCTTTTATTTTCTTAACCATCTGTGCTCGGATCACGGCTTCCCTGCTGTTGCTGATCTATCTCCGGTGCGTTCCTTCTCACCATGTGCACTTACTCCCTCTGCATTCCCCATGCACTGATGAGCTCCTCTGCCTGGCTTTTCTTTCTGCCAACAGGGCGCAAGTATGAGTCGTGTGAGCCCTGCTTTGATTCCTTGCCCAAAGCC